ATATGTGCAACCATCATCACAGTCAATTTTAAAACATTTTAATCACCTCAGAAAGAAAACCTGTGCCCATTAGTTATCACCCCCCAGCTCTCTTCCAGCCCTAAGCAGCTGCTAATCTACTTTGTCTCAATTGATGTGCCTGTTCTGAACATTTCATATAAATGGAATCAAATGTGTTGTGTTGTGATTGGCTTCTTTAATTTAGCTTTTTTTTTTTTTTGCTTAGTATTTTCAAGATTGATTCGTGTCATAAAATGTATCAGTACTTCATTCCTTTTTATGGCTGAATTGCATGGATAATACTACATTTTGTTTATCTGTTCATCAGTTAATAGGCATTTGCGTTCTTTCCAGTTTTGGATTATTATGACAAATGCTGTTGTAAATAGTCACATCCAAGTGTCTGGACATATGCTTTTATTTCTTTTGAGTGTATACCCAGGAGTGGGATGGCTAGGTCATATAGTAACTCTTTGTTGAACGTTTTGTGGAACTGCCATCCTATTTTACGAAGTGGCCACACCATTTTACATTTCCACCAGCAATGTGTAGAAGTTCCAGTTTCGCTACATCCATGCCAACACTTGTTGTTTCCTGATTTTTCGAATTTAGCCATCCTAGTAGGTATGAAGTGGCATCTCAATAAAGTTTTAATTTGTGTTTTCCTGATGACCCATGATGTTGAACATGTTTTCATATGCTTGTTGGCCATTTGTATATCTTGTTTACAGAAACATTTATTCAGTGTTAAATTCTAAAGGAGATTATTATTGAACATATTTACAGCTGGTGTGTGAATACTTAAAAACAACATGGATTAGTTCTTTGTAAACTAAGACTGTCCATCCATGTGAATGGATTCACTAATCAGTTATTCAAAACTCAAGTTTCATTTATGTCTTTATTTTTAAGACATGGAATCTTACTCTGTCACCCAGGCTGGAGTACACTGGTGTAATCACAGCTCACTGCAACCTCAAACTTCTGGGCTCAAGCAGCCCTCCCACCTCAGCCTCCCTGAGTAGTTGAGACCACAGGCACACACTACTGTGCCCATGTGATTTTTAAAGAGTTTTTGTAGAGGCAGGGGTCTCACTTTGTTGCCCAGGCTGGTTTCAAACTCCTGGCTTCAAGCAATCCTCCCACCTCTGCCTCCGCCTCCTAAACTGCTGGAGATTACAGGCATGAGCCACCACACCCAGCCAAGTTTCATCTTTGTTAATTATATTTCTAAGTTCAGGGAATGTAGCTGAAGCTAGTGTATTTTGAGTTCAGTGAAGTAGTTTAGAGAGTGTTTCATTAATTGTTTAAGTGGAGCGGTAGAGGCTGGATAAACTGTGGCATCCCAATAGGGTTGATGCATGTCTTTCTCAGGGAAGGTCTTTGGTACTCTTTGAGCTTGACTTTGGTCTGAAAAGCATTTTTACAGTGACCTGAGTTAAGGGAGACTTAAGATGGCCTAAATCTGAGTAAAAGCCAGTTCAGAAGTTGAGAATGTATTAGCAGTGTCATGGCTGCTAATAAGTTAGGGTTGGTGGCATTGATAGAAATTCATTGTACTAGTCATAGAAAGTAGCATTTTCACTGGGTCATGTTGTATACTGGGTCTAACTAAGAATTAGAAGAAATACTTTTTGTGTTGTTGTTTCAGCTCTTCTGATTATTGACTTTCTTTGGGCAAGTATCTTAACCTAAACCTCAATTTTCTCATCTCTAAGGTCATAGTAATTATCTGGTTCTATTTCTTAGAGTTGCAAAAATCAAATAACATGTTTGAAAACACTAAGAGATTGTAGAGCATTTTTACATGTTTGTGTGATGTTGGTATTAATTCTGGGTACTATGTCTTCAGTTGGCCACTGACAGCCTGTTTGAAGGACATGAGAGAGAAGACTTTATTGTTCTAGAATTGAATTAGAAGATGGCTGGGCACGGTGGCTCATGCCTGTAATCCCGGTAGTTTGGGAGGCAGAGGCGGGTGGATTACCTGAGGTCAGGAGTTCAAGACCAGCCTGGCAAAACTGGCCAACATGGTGAAACCCCGTCTCTACTAAAATTACAAAAATTAGCTGGGTGTGGTGGTGTGCCCCTGTAATCCCAGCTACTTGGGAGGCTGAGGCAGAAAAATTGCTTGAACCCGGGAGGCGAAGGTCACAGTGAGCAGAGATCACGCCACTGCACTCCAGCCTGGGTGACAGAGCAAGACTCTGTCTCCAAAAAAAAAAAAAAAAAAAAAAAAAAAAAAAAAAAAAAAAAAGATACAAGGTTTAGGGAGGTAGTTTTTAGCTCAGTGATGAGCTCTACTAGTTTAGGTATCGTTATGAAATGCACTGAGTGGAAAACTGATGGAAAGGATTTCTGTATTGGGCATGAAGTTGACCTATATCTCATAATGCGTGTTTTGGAGTGTTTTTCTGTCTTCTTTCTAGGCACTGTTCTAAAGGGTTTTTATGTGTTAACTCTTTTTTTAATTGATATAGTTGTACGTATTTTGGGGGTACATGTGATATTTTGATATATATAGTGATCAGATCAGGATAATTGGGATATTCAGTACCTTAGACATTTTTCTTTGTGTTGGGAATGTTACAGTTCTTCTCTTTTGGTTGTTTTCAATATACAATAAATTATTGCAAATTATAGTCTCCGTACTTTACTATCGAATACTAGAATTTATTCCTTTTAACTATATTTTTGTACCAACTTTTCTTCATGCCTCCTTCCCCCTTCCCTGCTTCTCCTAACCACCATTCTACTCTCTACCTCCATAATATCCGCTTTTTTAGCTCCCACATGTGAGAGAGAATGTGCAATATTTGTCTTTCTATGCCTGGCTTATTTCACTTAACATGATGACCTTCACTTCCATACATGCTCTTGCAAATGGCAGGCTTTCATTCTTTTTTATGGCTGAATAGTATTCCATTGCATATATTTACTGTATTTTATTTATCCATAAACTGTTGATGGACACTTGGGTTGATTCTGTATCTTGGCTATTGTGAATAGTGCTGCAGTAAATGTGGGAGTGCAGATATCGCTTTGGTATGCTGATTTCCTTTCTCTTGGTTAGATACTCAGCAGTGGAATTGCTGGATCATATGGCAATTCTATTTTTAGTTGTTAGTGGGTTTTTTGTTTGTTTGTTTTGAGACAAGGTCTCTTTCTGTCACCTAGACTGGAATGCAGTGGCACAGTCACGGCTCTTTGCAACCTCAACCTCCTGGGCTCAAGTGATCCTCTTTATTAGCTGTGACCACAGGCATGCACTAGTATGCCAGGCTAATTTTTTTGTTTTTTTTTAATTTGTTGTAGAGACAGGGTCTCCCTGTGTTATCCAGGCTGGGATTACATATGTGAGCCACCACACACAGCCTATTTTTAGTTTTTTGTTTGAGGAACCTCCATACTGTTCTCTGTAGTGGCCATAGTCACATGGTCACCAACAGTGTATGAGGGTTCCCCTTCCTCCACATCCTCACAAGCATCTGTTATTTGTCTTTTTGATAATAGTCATTTTAACTGGGGTGAGATGATATTTCATTGTGGTTTTGATTTACATTTCCTTGATGATTAGTAATGTTGTATTTTTTCATATGCCTTTTGGCCATTTGTATGTCTTCTTTTGAGAAATGCCTATTCAGGTATTTTGCTTATTTTTTAAGTGGAGTTATTTGGTTTTATTTTGCTATTGAGTTGAGTTCCTTATGTATTCTGGATATTAATCCCTTGTCAGGTGGATATTTTGCAGAATTTTCTCCCATTCTGTGGGTTGTCTCTTCACACTGTTAT